AAATTCCATATTTTTTAGACCCAAATACAGTTACTAAGCTTGATAAATTATAGTGGAATTCTGTGGTATTGATATAGTAATTTATGATTTTTGGTTATTTGAAAATGTATAAAACCCTAAAAAATTGATTTCATTTCATATCCTCCATGTGCAAAATTTGATATGGCTTCACAACCTACAACAAGCAGCAAACGAGTACAAAGTTCGTAACTAGAAGAGAATTGTTTTATATTATTATTTACTGTTCTATGTTTTAAATAAAATAACTGAAATTCAAGAACTATTTGTAAATAGTAATAATGTATATACATATTTAATGTATTATAACTGAAAGGTGACTATTTCACAAAATACACAAAAAACATGGCCAAGGCATGTCACTTTGTAAAGGCCAGTTTTATATTCTTGGATATGATAACATGAGTGCACATGTGCTGTGTCATTGCAACTTCTATAATGTTAGCCAGACACAGCTGAAAGGTCAATATAATATAATAAATATATATAAATAAGTAATGTTATGAAATTTAAGCTATTTAGACTAAACATTTGTGTTATCGTGTTACAATTCGTAGTCATTCTAGAATGAAAAAAAAGCATAATTTATATTTATTTCCTAATTTTTTTTATGGTGATTATGAGGACAGTCAAACCGACCCAATCCATATAGAAATACAGTAGTGAAAATAAGTTTTTTTTCTAAAAAATATTTGATAATTATCTGGAGGTTAAAGATTTTGCATGTGAAATTTGAAAAGTTTCTGATGCATAAAAATATTTTCAATTTTAAAATCAAAATTACTTTGCATGTTGGATATTCAACATTCTGAAAGAAAAAATTTTCATAAGAAAATCTTTAATTAAAAAATCTTAAAACATAATTTGAACACCTGATATTTTGTGTACGAAAGCCTTGTAATGTTTTATCAATAACCTACAAAATTTTGTAAAGATACGCAGACATTATCAAAAATCATAGTATAATTACTCTCATGGATACTTTCATGATTACAAGCTGGGTGGGATACATCCATGGTAGGGTTAATAAAATTTAAATTGAAAAAAGGGAAAATTATGTGTGAATTGACAACTAACTAAAAGCATGTTGATATCTACATCATCTGTCTTCTAAAGTTTTGCACATTTAATTAAAACTCTTGATTAAATATTGATGTTCAGTTTTGCAGGAATTTTATGATCAATATAACAGTCTGGATTAATTATAACTTAAGTGCAGTATACACCCAGTCTGTTTTAAACATAGTTTCATAAAGAGTACAAGGGCAAATTTGTACTTCTCACAAACACAAAGCTGCAGTAATAAGACATACATTATTACAACAAAAACACAATATGGAAAATTAACTTCTAATATTTCAAAGCCTTGAAATTTATGTAGACTAGAAAAAAATATAGTACTTTACATAAATTTAGATAGCTGAAATACGAATCAAGAATACAATAGTAACAAGGAAATACAATAAACATATCAAATGCAGTTTTTACAGAAACCGTTGAATCAGACTTCTTAAAAAAAACCTAGGCTGACCTTAAAGAATCTCAAACCCACGTAAAATTTCATTGCTCTTAATTTAATTTCACACCATATACAAATATGGTTAAAACTGCCCATTCATTTGAAACATTAATCTTCTTCTAACCTAGTTAAAGTGAAACATTACGATCTAGGTGTGTAATTCTCCGCTAAGTATTAAACAAAAAAACTGGAGTAATGTGTGTCTTTGAATCAAAGTTGAACTAAGATAATGTGTTAGTCAACACTGTTCTCACCTGTTGAGTGGCAGTGTTCCTTGATGGGTGTCTAGCAATGTATGAACTTGAGGAGCTAAAGTTTTCAACGTCACAAAAACATCAGGTAGTGGGTAAACACTATCTTGCTCTGCCCAACCACGAGAATCAGACAGTCTAAAGTGTTGCTCACAATAAGGCTTTTCTAAAATCTGCTGTATTTCCTATTACAAATGATACAAGGTCAAATACAGATTTTTACTTGGTAGATTTAATAATTTACCCCATTGGAGCACTTAAAAAATTTTTAGTAAAATGAAAACTTTTATAACACTTGATTTTTGCATTGCTAAATATGTAGTGCAAACAGGTCTTATGAACTAGTGCGAGGCTTAATATTCAATGTTAAATTATTTATTGACAATTTGCTATAACATTCAGTTGCATAGACTTCCAAGAGAATGTTCAAAGGTTTTACTTTTTATTTCAAGTGCTCATTCAATTTCTCTACCCTAGATCATTATAGCATCAAAGGTACTTGCCTGGGATCCCTCCGAGTCTACTGGTGATGGTGTACTTCTGTAGTCTGGATTCAAACTCACCATTCTTCCAGTTACATCTTCCACAATATGGACTGCTTCTTTCATCTTATACAGTTCTGACACACTAATACTTCTGTGGTATCTAAACAGAGGAATACAATTAACTACTTTTTGATAGATGTCATGATATAAAAGACTGTTAAGTTTAGATGGTATTGATTAATTTAATTCTGCGAGTGAATATTTTATTGTTGTTTAGTTTTTGCTATAATAAGAGTTAAAAGCCGATGATTGTAGGAAGTTGTGTTTATAAGTCTTTATAAGTTGTTGATGTTGAGACTATTGAATGTCTTGTGCAATACCTTGATGTCGAGAATATAAAGATTTCTAGAAGGTGGGCAGACAATTAAGTGATAGATATAAATATCGTGAGATGAGCAGAAACAGCAAAGAGACAAAAGCAGAAGAGAGTAAAGTTGTGGCCAAGGAAAAGTTTGGCATGAAGTTAATTACGGTAGAAGTGATAGGCCTAACGACTAACATTTAATATGCAAGACTAACAGTAGAAAAGGAGTGAGTGCACTTTGACAAAAGGAATAGAGGATATTTTGAAGAAAGAAGACCAAACAATCATGGTAACTCACACCACAATTGTAAGTGAATCACACACACAGAATACTAGTGCAATAGTAATATAGAAGATAGATTGGCTTGTCAACTGAAATATATATATATATATATATATACAGTGTTTATGATATGCCTATAATCTCTATAGTGAAGACTGTTGTACATATGTTTAACTTGCTCCAAATATATATATATTATTTTGAAAACAAGTGAAGTGCGTGTTGTTCATTTATCATTGAATTTATCACCAACAAGCCAGAGACACCTACTGTAGAAGAATCCTAAGCCCAACAACAACATAGTATATATTTATACTATTAAAAATTATAACTAAAAGCCTTTTAATTGACAATTGGCAAAAGAATTACAACTAAATTCTGACAGTAGGGTTGTTTTTAGCACCTTAACTTTACTTCAAATATGAAACTTACAAGATAAAATAATAAGCACAAAGAATACAATGTTTTATAATAATTATAATTCAGCTGACTTTCTAAATGAGCTACAAGTGGATTTAAATATATCTAATGACTGGTCAAGATGACTCAGCAATAATAAAAAATGAAACTGTGTGGCAATTAATTCAAACTGTCATCAGAATGAGATGGCCTTAAGTAATTCAATAAATAATTTTTCTGTTGGTTATAAATAACTCAACACCAAATGGTAGAAAGAATTGTACATTTTTTGAGACAGAATTTGATAGGAAGTTGTGGCATACAGGTTTGACTTTCAGGTTTACATCTCAGTAAAGAAAGAAGATTGGAGGCTATAAATTTAGATTATATTTTAGCAATATCTAAGTTTGTAGTTCGTGTTAAACTCTGGAGTTCATTCTGGAGCAGAAAGAATACCTAAAGCAAGAAATTTGAAGCAAAGAAGTCTCATGCAAAGATTAAGGGTTAATTTAATTATTTACTTTTGAATTAAGAAATCAAAATTAGATAATATACAAGTCTGAATCATAAATTATGTTTCAAAATGTTGTGACAAGGGGAGCCAGCAAGCTTAATTCTTATTTCATCAAAATGGATGTGACTAGCATAACTGTTTTCATTTTTACTGACTTAATACATACAACTTGTTTGTGGATGTTGAGTGATAATTAATTTTTAAATTAAAAGTTATGTTAAGTTTCGCATTAACACATGCAAAAAAAAAAAAAATTACCTTTTCTCAAAGAGCTCCCTAAACTTAAAAACAGGCAGTTTCTTTGTAGGAACATCGCTGAGCAAAGCCACCACTTCTGACCTATGGAAACAATTTTTTCTAAAAAATAACTTCATGATGTTTGCTTCTAATATAAAAAAAATAATGTTCCTACAGTTTTAAAATAATGAAATATTTAAATACCAATTTTTTTTAAAGAACAAATGCAAGGAAAATTCAAAACTTTACTATACTTAGATGAAACAAATGTCCTTTGTTAAACCAACACTAACATCAGGACTCTTATGAATTAAAACACTGTTTTAGAGAGTACATGCTTTAGTAAATACAAGCTTACAATAAAGCTTAAGTAATAAATACATCACCTTAAAATGTGTAAAGGTGGCGTCCGATCAGAGGATGTGTAAGCTATTAGAATGCGCTTGTAACCAATTTTTCGTCTATGAAGTTGGGAAATAGCATATTGTGCATCTTGTTGTGATGGTACTTTTACAATAGCTTTCAAACTGTTGTCTGCTTGCAAAGCCAATGATATATGAATCACCTACGTTGAAATGAAACAAAAATTCTAATTATCACATGAAAACACAGTTAATCAGGTACAAACCAATCTGAGCATATATTTACAAAATAAAACAATTGTACTTTAATAAGACAATAAGAAAAATTTATTTTCAAGATTATTATTCATAGAAGAAACTGCTTCTCTTCATTCTTTACCATTATTTTACATCTCTTACCAATTTTTTTGCAGCTGTAACTCCTAAATGAGCATTACGAAAGGTGTTTAAAATACAACAACATATTCAGATAGTCATATTTCCCATTCTTACAACATGGTAGATTATATACTGAATTTTAAAAAAATTCCATCAAAGACTTGCACTTTTATGCCTTCCTATTCTACTAATATGGTAATTTGTTTTATATAATATTTGCCTATTTTTATCAGTTGTGTCACTACTTTATACACAACCAGCTATTAAGTTTTCATTTATTAAAATAATCACTATTTAAAAAGACTGCTACGATATACTATTTATAAAACAAATAATTAAGTCTCAGTATTTACATTACAAAAAATATGCTGTATTACCACTTGTACATCTAATAAATGTTAATGAAACATTCAAATTTCAACCCTAAAACATACCATGACATGCTCTCGGAAAACCGAAAAAAGAATCTTTTTCATCTCATTGGCTTCAATGCTCTGGTCTAAGTTTGTGACCTGAAGTTCAACTGGAGATGTTAAATTTTGAGTGGAGGAGACAGTACTTATTGGACTTGCTCTCCCAGGAGGCTGGGATAGGTCACGAGACAGTGTTGTTAAATTCCAAGTATACAGAGGCTGAGCTGGAATATCCAAGGATTTCGAAGCATGACTAACAATCAGTGGAGATCCAGCCATATATCGAGTAAAGGAGTGGGGAGATAATGAATTTGCTCCTACAAACGTTGAAACATTTTCTAGGACTGATGGTGTTAACGAACGACGGTGAAGAGCCTCGACACCTGACAGAGGTACACTTGTCTTTTCAGGGAACAGTTTTGTTTTACAACACTCATTCATCATGAAGGGTGAAACACGACCTACATTCTTCTGAGAAAGTCCTACTCTATTATTAATAATCACAGAATTGTCAACTTTAGGTGAAGATTCTCTGCTTCCCAAAGATATATTACTCAGTGATTTGTTACATCCCCTCTCTCTTTGCTTTTCATCTTCTCTAGAGGTTGAACTCGATTCTTCTTCAGAATTCTGGCTCCTAGCATCTGTTGAAGATATCCCTACCTCTAATGCTCGATTGCAGGAGCCCCTTTTACCACGAGTTTTACTAACATGTTTTTTGTGGCCAAGATGACTCTGGCTGATAAGGTCAGGAGGAGGGGGAAAAACAAAAGACCTATGCTGTGGAGAAGCTCCTTGAGATGATTCAGAACCACTACCAACATCTGCTTCTGGTCCTCTGAGAGTGGCTGGGGATGATTCTCTACTACTACCACTACTAGCTGTCCGCTGACGAGCTGGCCTAAAGCCTCTGGAACGAGAACGACCTGAGCGTTGAGGAGAGTTTTCTCTGCCATTAAAACAGAAGCCAGATTTCTGGGAATAATTTACTGATATTTTGGTACCAAAGACATCCTCCCGATCCATACGTTTCTTTGCTCTGCAATGATAAAAAGTTACACCCAACATCAATATTAGAAGCTACAATATTTTTGTAGAACTAATTATCCAGGATGTTAAGTTTAGAGTCTGATGACGTAATCTTTTCGAAACATTGTACACTTACAATAAAATTTTCTTCATTACCCATTCAAGTCATCTCAAAACGTTTTAATGTTGAGAATTGTGTGTTAATTTATCGCTTATGATCATAGATAAGCTTAACAGTATTTGCAGTTTTTATGATAAATTAAGTATTGAAATTATAATCATTGTATACAGAATCCACTCTTCATATATTTCTAAACTATCAGTTTGTCAATCTTCTATCACTGTATCCTTTTGTAGGCAGCTGCCTCAACTGACATTAATTTCTAAACATCAACCCCAAATCTAGATCCAATAAAATGTCATCTTAAACATTGAAGAAGAAAACAAAAAACAGTGATCACAATAGTAAAACACAGGAAATAATGTGAGATAACACATGTAAAGAATATTTCTACTTCACTCATGTAGTTCTATTGTACCTGATTTTAATATATAATTGACAGAACAAGTGATGCACAAAGAAAAGAAAAATTTCTTGGAAAACAGTGAGTTTTTTTTGGTGTAACAATACCTAGAAAAAAAAAAAATACACTAAAAGGAATAAAACCAAATCCTTATTGACAATTCTCTACTCAATCTCCACAGCAACAGAAATGAAAAAAGGATTTCCAAAACTGGATCACATATACTTGGAGTCAACAAAACCAGTAAAATTCTGTATATAAACACTGTTGCTACAAGAATCTTGAAACCAATTTTCCAGAAAAAAAACTTGGTTCTAGCTTATAACACCTTGAATCATCCATTTTTGTTATTGGTCCAAAAAGAGCCAAAATTCTACTGCATTAAAAACTAAACTTCTATTAACCGTTAAAACTAAATGTCTAATGATAAACATTTTTTCCACTTCATTCCAATCTTAACTGCCAGCCTACCAATCCTACTTCAAGTGTTTCCTAAGACTGAAGGTTTTCTAAACACGAGTGACACTTTTCTAAGTACTAATTTCATTCCCAAGCTTCTTGTCACAAATAAAGCAACTTGAGGTGTTTTTTTTCTTTGGGTGAAGATAGCAATCAAGCCTTGTAAAGCTACTACATTTTTTTTTCTTTTTACTTTTACTATAGTCTGTTTGAAGAGAGTTCATATTAACCTACATTCATTATCACAGTTCAGCAATGATGTGATTATATATATATATATATATATATATATATATA